GGGCGGCGCGCGGGAGGGAGGGCTGACCCTGCCGTCACCCGGCACGTCTCCCGGCAGGAACGCCGTGCCGGAGTGGGAAGGCACAATGGGGAAGCAGATGGCGTGCCGCGATGCCGGGGATTTAGAGCAGCTGCCAAAGCGGCGTGGCCAGGAGCGCCTGCCGCCTCTCCCGCTGCAGCGCCACAGGGAAAGCCGGAGCGGGGCCATGGGGAGGGAATCGGGCCGGCTCCACAGGCCCCACTGCTGCTTGGTGACAGCTGAGGATCAGACCCTGCTCACAGATCCTGTCTTGCGCTGATATTCCTGGGGTTACCCGGGAATGTGCTATCGATGCTCCTGCAGCGTTTCGTTTCCATCGCCATCGTGCTGGTGCCAGCAGCCTCTTTGCAGCCCTGCTGCTCTTCACACTGTACTGCCAGGCTGGGCCAAGTCCCTCCTGTCCCTAGAGCTGATCTCACTCCCCTGGACACTTCCTGGCAGACTCTTGCTTAAAACCTTTCCCTTTCCTCAAATTTTGGGCTTGAAGTCAGCAACCCGCTCAGTTTTTGCTCGCCTCCAGGGACTTTATTCCCTTCGATCCGCACTCAGCTCCCGTGGCACAGAGCAGCCCCGCCGTGAGCCCTGGGGTTCGTGGCGCCCTCAGTGAGCTCTGCGGCAAGGAGACGCCGATGCCAGCGTCCCACAGGGGCCATCCCCAGGCCCTGCTCCTCCCTGGCACCTCCGGCGCTTTGGAGGGTGGGTACGGGTGGAAGAAGCGGTGGCTCTCGCGGTGCCGGCTCCGCGGGCAGCAGGCTAGAGGTTGGAGCGGGGCAAAGGAGCGTCTGCCACGACCGAGTCACCGATGCCCTCGAGGAGCTGGTCCCACTGATCAAAGTCCTCGTTCAGGTCTGGGCAGGGCAGATCACAGGGTTATTCCAGCACTTACCAGGCTGGCCAGGCCCCGTGTGTGCAAGAAAAGGAGCCGCTGGATGTATCTGCCTTGGGCAGCAAAACCTTCCAGGAGCCTTAGGCAAAGGGCAACGTCGGCTCCCTGGCCTGGGAGACAGTAGCTCAGCTGCCTCCAAGGCCAGGAGGTGACTCTCCCCATGGGACAGGAAGCATCGAGGCCAGGCAGCAGGGAGGCCACGGCCTCCTGTTAACCCCCTGTGCCCAGGGCGCTCCCGAGCCCTCCCGAGCGCCTGTCCTGCAGCCCATGTCCTACCGAGGTGCCTCTGCAGGAAGGCCAGCGCCGCCTGGCACGTGATGTCCAAGGCCTTGTGCGGGTCGAGGGTGCCCCTCGTGGTGAGGATGCGGTTGACGAACCTCCCGGTCAGGAAGGTGATGTCAGACTGGCTCTGGTGCACGGATCCGCTGAGGAGGGGAAGGGAGGGCTGTGGAGAGGCCGGCCGGCGCGGACGGGACCTGCTCCG